TATAGTTTAATTTTTTGTTATAAAAGGGAACTGATTACTAATTGATTTTTCTCTCTTTACTTTATGATGAAAAATAACGATTTTTGAAGGTATCACGGGGACATGAATAATTAATTAGAAGCAATTTTATGATAAAAGTGAACAACTTCTTTTATATTTTCGAAGTTTTAGAACTCATTGCTTTATTGTCATGAAAAGATAAGATTTTATAGATTCTTTTTGAGTATACGATAACTATACTGGCTATGCTAACTTATTTCTTGTTCACTTAGATTTTTTTATGTTCAAAATGTACATATTGATATATTTAAATATCCGAGATTCTATTTATGGTAATTAAACTATTTACTACGTATTTGAACATTGAATATTTTTGGAGTACTATCGATGTTGGGCAAGATAAAAAAAAATAAAAATAAAACTATTATAATGTAATAATAATAACACTAATGGATAGTCCGGGAGCCCCTTTTATAGTATGCGTACATCTACAAATAATTAAGGATTGAATATTTATAAGAATGTAATTTAAAATAATAGTAATAATTTGATAATAGTTATATAAGTTTCAAAGCAATATTATTTATTGAACAATTTTAGCAATTAAATAATGCTCTTTTTTAAAGTGACAGATTTGAAAGGTGACTAGTAATTAAACTAATGTTTCCTTTTTTTTTTTACATTAAATATTAAGTGATATTAGCTACATTATAAGTAATATTAGTACTCCATTTTATTGATTTTGTTGAAATATAGTGCTAGTCAAACTTTAGAAGTGACCCAAGATCTAATTGCTGTGAGGAATCGTTTTCATCAGCTGTAAATATAATTATATTAACTGTCATAAAATTAAGATCTTTGACTTCATTGATCACATCTTTATCCAAAAGATTTTCTTGGACAAAGATGTTAAAAGCTGTTTATATGAACTTGGTAAATTTGGCAACATTTTCAGGCTGCTTTCTGAATGTCTTCTCTAAATCTAAAATATCCATATGGCGTTTTAAAAAGGCTTGCCAATTGTTTTTCATAATATATTCAGAAAGTTGCTTCATTTCGGGTAGCTTCGACTTAGTTAATCTAAAAAACATTATTTAATTTTCTTTTTATTTTATTTAAATAAACATTAATTATTTATAAAAAACTTACTTATATTTCCTTATGAATTCAGGAACTAAATTCCTAAGTTCCTTTCTTAAAGATGCATTATAATTCTGGAAGCAAGCAAAGGCCCATCGCTGCAATGTAGTACATTCTGATGCATTTGTTTGAATATTTTTAAATAAAGATTTGACCAGTACATCAATAATGTGCTTGTTTACAGTACGGGTATGAAAAAACAGGCCTTTAAGATGCATCTGAAGAGTTCCGAGATCCTATTTTAATAAAATATTAAATAATTAAACCACCAAAATATTACTCAAATTGTAAATTAAACCTACTCTTTCTGGTAATACATTGAACTTGTCAGCTTTTTCTTGGATACCTGTAAAACCTTGGCCGCCTGCCTCTATCATATTCAATATTAACTTAATGAGATTGGAATGCTGTACACGGTATAGGCAAATCTCCAAATCATTCTTAAAGGGTCCAATTAAAGAAGATGAGGAGATATTGGTGTCATTTAATATTGATAGGCATTGGTTATTAGTATCTTCGAAAGAATTATTGATTAAAGGAGATGAGGCGATATTGGGTGATGGTGATCGTTTATCATAAATACTTTTGGGAGTGTCACTTCTGACCGAAAAAGATGGAGAAGCTTTAGATGCAAATAACTGTTGTTTATAAGATGATGTGTTTTTAATTAATGAGGATGAGGACGAAGCATTTGATGCTTGTTCTCTTTGTTGTGTGCTATTTTTAGAAGGCAA